GAGCACAATTAAGTGTTCTGGAATTCCCATTCTTCACAATGTGGTCCATAATTTGTTATGATCCACACAGTCGAATGCCTTTGCATAGTCAATCAAACAAACACAGGTATACATATTTCTGGTATTCTCTGCTTTCAGCCAAGATCCATCTGACATCAGCAATGATATCCCTCGTTACATATCCTCTCAGAATCCGGCTTGAAATTCTGGCGGTTCCCTGTTGATGTACTGCTGCAAGTGCTTTTGAAAGATCTTCAGCAAAATTTTACTTGTGCGTAATATTAATGATGTTGTTCAACAATTTCTGCATTCTGTTGGAGCACCTTTCTTTGGAATGGGTATAAATGTGGCTCTCTTCCAGCTGGTTGGCCAGGTAGCTGTCTTCCAAATTTCTTGGCATCATAGACTAGTGAGCACTTCCAGCACTGCATCTGTTTGTTGAAACGTTTCAATTGGTATTCCATCAATTCCTGGAATCTTGTTTTTCGCCAATGTCTTCAGTGCAGCTTGGACTTCTTCCTTCAGTACCATCGGTTCTTAATCATATGCCACCTCCTGAAATGGTTGAAGGTCAACAAATTCTTTTTGGTACAATGACTCTGTGTATTCCTTCCATCTTCTTTGATGCTTCCTGCGTCATTTAATATTTTCCCCATAGAATCCTTCCATATTGCAACTTGAGGCTTGAATTTTTTTTCAGTTCTTTCAGCTTGAGAAATACTGAGCATGTTCTTCCCTTTTGGTTTTCTATCTAGAGGTCTTTGTACATTTCATTATAATACTTTACTTCGTCTTTTTGATGTGCCCTTTGAAATCTTCTGTTCAGCTTTTTTTACTTCATCATTTCTTCCTTTTGCTTTACCTACTTGACGTTCAAGAGCAAGTTCAGAGTCTCTTCTGATAGGCATTTTGGTCGTTTCTTTCTTTCCTGTCTTTTTAATGACCTCTTTCTTTCTTTCTTTTTTTTTTCTTTCTTTGAACCAAAGGTGTTTATTTATACATAAGTAGCATCAGTAATTGCATACAACAAACTAGGAGGTAGAATAGAAACACTAACAATAATATTAGGCCAATTGTATAAAATAACCAATGAAACCATGACCCTAAGGCCTTCGAACCAAAGGTATTTGTTTATACATAAGCAGCATCAGTAATTGCTTTTCATGTGCCTCAGCAGCAACTACATTCTGCAAAACCTCAGATGAGTATTAATATAAATACAGCAACATTTATCAATTAAGGCACAAACTGTTCCTTGAGAGAACTAATAGGAAATCTAACGCTGTTCTATTTTGTAAAGTCAAAGGTCAAATTTCAGACACTTCTCTGGTTATGATATTTACAACTTTTCTAAGTTTACCAATAGGAACTTCTAATTCAAGAGTTACAATATCTAAACCCATTAGTTAGATAATTTAGGAGAAAAGAAAGTGATTTTTTATATCCAGAAAGTAGGACCTTAAAACATCAGCAATATTCCCATATAAAACCCATAGTTTCCTTTTGTTTACTCAGTCTTATGTAGTTAACTTCTGTCCCACTTGATTCTGGATCAGCCGCAGTCTGCGAACCCATCAGCTTCTGCATAAGAGTTCTGGAAATCTTGATTAAGTATAGTCACAGTCTTTTTCACAAGTCCAATATAGTCCATCTTTTTGTTGAGATATTTTGGTCAAACATTTTCAGCAAGTCAGCAAAGTAAAAACTTATCTGCAGATGACAAAATTTAATCCTCTTGCTTTCTTCAGGTGTGATGTCCTTGATGTCATTCCACAACTTGTCTGGTCTTCAGTCATTACTGTTCAATGAGTCAAATCTATTCTTGAGATGGTCTCTAAATTCAGGTGGAATTACTCAAGGTCATACTTTGGGTCTTGTGGATTTGTTCTAATTTTCTTCAACTTCAACTCCAACTTGCGTATGACCAATTGATGGTCTGTTCCGCAGTCAGCCACTGGCCTTTTTCTGACTGATGATATTGAGCTTTTCCATCGTCTTTTTCCACAGATGTAGTCAATTTGATTCCTGTGTATTCCATCTGGTGAGGTCCACATGTACAGTCACTGTTTATGTTATTGAAAAAGTTATTTGCACTGAAGACGTCATTGGTCTTGCAAAACTCTATCATGGGATCTCCAGCATTGTTTCTATCAATCAGGCTGTATTTTCCAACTACCAATCTTTCTTCTTTGTTTCCATCTTTTGTATTCCAGATCCAGGAATTATCCATGCATCTTTTTTTTCTTTATTTTGTTGTTGTACTTTAAGTGAAAGTTTACAATTCAAGTTAGTCTCTCATACAAAAATTTATACATACATTGTTATGTGACCCTAATTGCTCTCCTTATACTGTGACAGCACACTCCTCCTTTCCACCCCCAATTTCCTGTGTCCATTCAACCAGCTCCTGACCCTCTCTGCCTTCTCATCTCATCTCTGGGCAGGATCTGCCCATGTAATCCATATATCTACTTGAGCTAAGAAGCAGACTCTTCAGGAGTATCATTTTATGTCCCATAGTCCAGTCTAATCTTTGTCTGAAGAATTGGCCTCGGGAATGGTTTTAGTTCTGGGTTGACAGTCTGGTGGCTATGCCTTCTGGGGTTCCTCTAGTCTCTGTCAGACCATTAAGTCTGGTCTTTTTACTAGAATTTGAGTTCTGCACCCCACTTTTATCCTGCTCTATTAGGGACTCTCTGTTGTGTTCCATGTCTGGGCGGTCATTGGTTGTAGCCGGGCACCATCTAGTTCTTCTGGTCTCAGGCTGATGCAATCTCTGGTTTATGTGGCCCTTTCTATTTCTTGGGCTAATACTTTCCTTGTGATTTTGGTGTTCTTCATTCTCCTTTGCTCCAGGTGGGTTGGGACCAATTGATGAATCTTAGATGGCTGCTTGGTAGTTTTTAAGGCCCAAGACTCCACTCACCAAAGCAGGATGCAGAACATTTTCTTAATCAACTTTGTTATGCCAATTGACCTAGACGTCCCCGAAACCATGGTCCCCAGACCCCCACCCCCACTACTCTGTTCCTCAAAGTGTTTACTTATCCACGCATCTTGCCTGCATGTTTGATCAGTTTCCGACTGCAAAAGTTGGTAAAAATCCTCAATTTCTTCATCTTTGGCCTTAGTTGTTGGTGCGTAAATTTGAATAACAGTCATTAACTGGTCTTCCTTGTAGGTGTACAGATACTATTCTATCACTGACAGCATTGTACTTCAGCATAGATTTTGCAATGTTCTTTGTGACGAATGGGATGCCATTCCTCTTCCATTTGTCATTTCCGGCAGAGTAGACCATATGATTGTCCAATTCAAAATGGCCAATACCAGTTTGTTTCAATTCACTAGCATCTACGATATCAATCTTCAATTGTTCCATTTTATTTTTGGTGACTTCCAATTTTCCTTGATTTATATTTTGTACATTCCACATTCCGATTACTAACAGATATTTGCTGCTGTTACTTCTCATTTTGAGAAGTAAATGGATGTTGTTGTTGTTTGGTTCTGTTGAGTGGATTCCAACTCATAACGGCCCCATGTGACAAACTAGAACTGCCCCATAGGGATTTCTTGGCTGTAATCTTTACAGAAGCAAGTTACCAGGTCTTTCTCCCTGGGAGCAGCTGAGTGAGTTTGAACCGCCAGCCTTTTCATCATTTTCTAACTACATTAGGGAGTAGAGAGGGAAGAGACTTGTCCACATTAGAGCACTTTCAACTTCAGCCTCCTAAAATAGAAGGGGCTGCTGTAGCCAGAATGTGTTTAAAATACACATTTTTTTAGAAGCAGTTGGTTTCAAAGAAACGATCTAGTTCATTTGCTGCATATTAGACAGCTTTTACTCTCCTCCCAAAAAAGTGTAGATGTAAGACATGAAGGACTTGATTTTAGAGACGCGGTAAACACCAAGTCCTCAAAAAGAAAAAAACAAGTTTTATCATGCCCTGATACCAAGACTACAGTATCTCCTGGATCATGACATTACTGTCCAAGGATGATGACAGACAGAAACTCTTTAGATAGTTAAAAGTAGTTGAAGTTTGATACACTTGACCATAGAAGGAAACATCCCAGGTTTGAAAAAAGAAAAGAGGGTGGTACAATAACTTGTTCTCAACTCTCGAGCCTGTAATTTCTCTCATTATAAGCCCCGGCTTTTAATACCATTGTTAGGTTCAGCTAAATGTAATTATAAATATAAAAAATACCACCAATTATAATGGTAAGACTTCACTGATTGTAAAATGAATACTAATTTCAGTTAAAATGTGGGAAAAAAGTGTCTTAGAGTGAATAAAAAGGAGGCATTTATAAGATCATTTATTGTTTACTCTTAATACCAGTTTGCTTCTTTTCAACTAATTACTTTGCTTTTAGATCTATAAGTTAGGGAAAATTTTCAGAAATCATTAAAAATAGGCTCATTGGTCAGCCAGAGGTCACAGAACTTTCCTGGTGCCCAGCTAGGGATGATCCTTGGTGGTACTGATAGGTTTCTTTTTTTAACAATTCGACCATACTTATGAAATCAGCAACTAATAAGGATTATTCCCATGGAGGTGTTGCTAGGTACAAATAGGTTTTACTGGGCATGGAAATTTAGTAACGAAGAGGTAGCTTCCCTGGGCTCTCACCTTTTCACTGCTTGCACTTCCATACTTGCTTTCTTTAACTCTGCTGTTGTTTGGAGTTTGTTTATAGTTTCTTGTGCTGCACTGAAAAGTAACAGAAATATGTTACTTTTTTGTTTTATGTTCAGAGAAACTAAAAAGCAAAAAGGCGAAAATAAAAGAGATTTGGCCAGAGTGTAGAAACTAACACTTTAAGAGCGTCTACAGATTTCTGATCATTTTCTCGAAGGAACTCTTCGAAAGCCATTGCGTCGTCTTGGAGCTTTTTTTCTGCTTTTACGAGTTGCCTTTCCTTCCGTGTTATGCTGTCTTCAAACTTTTTAATTGTTTTTCTTTTGGTTGACAAAGTATACTAGGGATATTGAAAACAGGGGTGCATCAAGAACATTATTCCACATTTCTAGAACATTCCTAGGACATTTCAACAGTCTCATAAAAAAGAGAAAAATAACCTGTGGTAGCGATCTTTTGTACTAGAAAAGTAATATGTCCAAATCTTGAGTCTATGGCCTTTATGTCATGTAGGAATTTTATTTGGGGGATAGTTAGATGGGAGACTAATTCCCATCTCTCACCTTTATAAAGAGGCTCAACATTATTTCAAAATGATTCTGCCCCACAAATCAAAAATTGCTCATATCCCCCCAAAGAGCAGGTTCATCTAATATTACCTACAGTCTGACTCCAGTACTCTCTGAGCCCTGGGAAACTGGGCAGTCTGTAGCCACAAAGGCCACCAACTTCCCCTCTAATTGGAAAGACCATGGAAGAAAGCAGGCTCCAATGCTGCTACGCCAAAGACGTATTCTTCTGAACCAGCCCATGAGTGCGGGTGTCTAACCAGCCTCAGAGAGGCCTGTTTAGATCCCCAAGCACACCTTTGATATCCAGCTTCTATTTTTTTAGTTTAGAATACAAAACAACCCACTTGGTGTTTAATGTGATGCATTAAAAATAAATTATAAATATACAAAACCACAAACATTATAATTTAAATGAGTTTAAAATATGTAAATAAGATAATTTTTGAGAAATAACAACAAATAATTAGATCCCCCAATCCTATAACAAAAATATTTCATTCATTACTTTATTCACCAAGTATTTATTGAGTGCCTACTATGTGCACAGACTGTTTTAAGTGGAGGGAATAAAACAGTGAGCAAAATAGACAAAATTGCTTCATGGAGTGTACATTCTAGTAGAGTGGGGAGTTGATAAATAAATCAACAAATAAAGATGTGCCAGGAGAAAAATTAAGCAGGAAAGGAGGGATGGGGAATGCCAGTAGGCAAGGGTAACCAGTTGCACTGGAGTCTATTCTGACTCATGGCAACCCATGTGTGTCAGAGTAGAACTGTGCTCCATAGGTTTTTTAGTGGCTGATTTTTGGGAAGTAGATCTCCAGGCCTTTCTTCCTAGGCACCTCATGGTGGACTTGCACCTCTAACCTTTTGAGCTCATTAACCCTTTGCATCACACAGTGACTCTGGGCAAGTGTTGATTCTGACTCATAGCGACCCTATAGGACAGAATAGAACTGCACTGTAGGGTTTCCAAGGAGTGGCTGGTGGATTCGAACTGCCAACCTCTTGGTTAGCAGCCAAATGCTTAACCACTGGTGCCACCAGGGCTCCCCGGGCAAGTATAAGGAGTTACTATTATGTGTAGACTAGGCAAAGAAAGCCTCCCTAATATGGTGAAAATTGAATAGAGACTGGAAGAAAGAGAGGGAGCAAACCATGTGGTTATCTGAGGGAAAACTGTTCCTCACAGAAGGAATAGACACTGCAAAGCCCTGAGGCAAGAGTGTGATTGGTGTTTCCTAGGAATAGTGAGGAGGGCAGTGTGCCTGGAGCAGAGTGAGCAAGGGAGAGTGGTAGGGAACGAGATCAGAGAGAGAGCTGGTGGCCGGATCAAGTGACTAGAGGTCTTGGGCAGAAAGGAACATGATCAGACCACTGTGTGGAGAATACACCAACTACAGCAGGGCAAAAGTAGAAGCAGGACATCAGTGTTTAGAAGTTGTAACAATAACTCATGTAAGAGATAATGTTGATTTGGACTACGATAGTAGCAGTGGAGGTTGTGAAAAGAAGTCTGATTCTGGATGTATTTTGAAAATGTATATTTGAAAGCGTATTTGGGTGTAGATTACAAGAAGGAGTCAAGAATAACTAATGTGAGGTGGGGCCAAGATGGCGAAGTAATCAGATGCTTCCAGTGGTCCTTCTTACAACAAAGACCCGAAAAAACAAGTGAATCAATTATATATGACAATCTAGGAGCCCTGAAAATTAAAGGCAAAGTTGAGGAATCAGACTGAGTGGCAGGAGGAGGGAGAGACAGTTCAGAAGCAGCGAGGAGATGCCAGACTTAACACAGTGGGAGCTGGTGCCCTGCAGGCGGAATCGGCTGGTGTGCATGGTGAGATGGGAAGTGGTTTTTGGGATGCATTTTTCAAGTCAGTAGAGACCGAGCAGCAAAGAGTCTACTCAAGCCTCCAAAGCCAGTGAAAAGCGGTGCTCAACTGGCAAAAAGTAAGTACGTAAGTTTAACCTACCATGCAGATCAAAAAACACCCTGTTTGGGAAGAACCTCTCTCCCATTTATCTGCTACCTCCCTGCTCTGCACCTGGCCAGCTTCAACAATTCTTGCTTCCACTAGGCCAGAAGTAGGACCTGTTATGTGCCGTGAGTCATTTTACCAGCCTTGGAGAGGGAACAAATTAACAAACAGGAAAAAATAATCTGCCAGCTCCCCTAAGTCAGGAACTCAGGGCAGGCACAGCTCCTTTGCCTAGGTGCAGGCACAAGGGGACCATGGACTTTGAATGCCTTTCACCCCTGCATAGACCTGAGTGGGCCCATTTCAACAGCATAGGCTCTCATTAGCACAGTACAACAGGGTATATATATACCTGAAGCCTAACTTCACTATATCAGCCATATGGTGGTGTGGCAGGTTTGTGACATTTGGCACCACTCTGCCCTTTAAGCAAGGTCCTCACCTACCCACATGAGGGGGCTGAGGGCTGGTGGCTCCACCCACGCCACATAGCCACCTGTGACACAGATCCAAGAATAAGTGGTGCCTCCCAGTCCTTACAGCCAACAGCATTGGGTGCCCATAGTCTGGCTGCAAAACCCACCCACCTATGCACAGGGAACAGGGACCCACTTTCCTCCCAGACACTCAGGGGCAGCCGTCAGCCCCCTGCCTTGCTCAGCACGTGACACCCTACTGCAGCCAGATACCTGTGCCTACTCCAATCACCCATGTCCATCTAGGATGTAGGTGATAGCCTGCACCACACACTTGGTGACCAACTACCTGGACACCTGAGCTGAATTCGTACAAGAAAAGTAAATGGACTCCTGGGCTCACATACCTAGTAACAGATCTAACCACCTGGTGACAGGATATTAAAGCTTCAGAGGTGCCTATAATCAAACTAGCTCACACAAGCAGCCTATTTGGGATATCAAAAGAAAACAAAACAAGAAGCTAGGACACAGTAAGCAAACATAAAATAAATAAATATAATAACTTATTGATGGCTTGGAGACAACAGTCAATATCAAATCACACAAAGAGGCAGACCACAATGGCTTCAGCAAGCTCCCAAAACAAAGACTCAAGAAATCTTTCAGAGACGGAGAACTTCTTGGAATCACCAGAGGTAGAATACAAAAGATTAATAAACAGAACTCTTCAAGAGATCAGGAAGGAGATCAGGCAAAATGCAGAAGAAGCCAAGGAAAGCACAGACAAAGCAATAGAGGAACTTAAGAAGATTATAGAAGAGCACAATGACAAATTTAACAGGCTGCAAGAATCCATAGAGAGATGCCAAACAGAAATCCAGAAGATTAACAATAAAATTTCAGAATTAGACTCCTCAATAGAAAGTCATAAGAGCAGAATCAAGGCAATAGAATTCAGAATTAGTGAGACTGAAGGTGAAGCACTCGACACTAACTTATATGAGGAAAAATCCAATAAAAGAATTAAAAAAAATGAAGAAACTAAGAATTATCTGGGACTATATCAAGGGGAATAAACTATGAGTGATTGGAGTACCAGAACACGGGGGGATAACAGAAAATACAGAGAGAATTGTTGAAGATTTGTTGGCAGAAAACGTCCCTGATATTGTAAAAGATGACAAGATACCTATCCAAGATGCTCATTAAATGCCACACAAGGTAGATCCCAAAAGAAAGTCACCAAGATATATTATAATCAAAGTTACCAAAACCAAAGATAAAGAGAGAATTTTAAGAGCAGTTAGGGATAAATGAAAAGTCATCTACAAAGGAGAGTCAATAAGACTAAGCTCGGACTATTCAGCAGAAACCATGTAGGCTAGAAGGCAATGGGATGACATATATAACGCCTTGAAGGAAAAAAATTGCCAGTCAAGAATTATACATCCAGCAAAACTGTCTCAAATATGATGGCAAAAATAAGACATTTCCAGATAAACAGAAGTTTAGGGAATTTGCAAAAACCAAACCAAAATTACAAGAAATACAGGAGTCCTCTGGTTAGAAAATCAGTAACATCAGATAACAACCCAAGACTAGAACATAGGACAGAGCAACCAGATATCAACCCAGATAGGGAAGTCACGAAAATAAATCAAAGTTAAAATGCTGAAAATAGGGAAACAGAGACGTCAATATGTAAAAGACGACAACATCAAAACAAAAAAGAGGGACATAAAAAATATAGTCATAGATCTTTCATATGGAGAGGAAGTCAAGGCTATATAAAGAAATAAAAGATTGGTTTAAGCTTAGAACAACAGGGGTAAATATTAAGGTAACCACAAAGGAAACTAACAATCCTACACATCAATATAAAAAAACAAGAAAAATACAAAGACTCAGCAAACACAAAATCTTTTTAGATGAAAAGAAAATACATAAAGAAAAACAACTCAGCACAGAAAATTAAGTGGAACAAAGAAACTGTCAATAAGATGCACAAAAAGGCATTAAAATGACAGCACTAAATGCATACCTATCAATAATTACGCTGAATGTAAATGGACTAAATGCACCAATAAAGAGACAGAGAGTGGTGGAATGGATTAAAAAAACACAATCTGTCTATATGCTGCCTGTAAGAGACACACCTTACACTCAAAGACACAAACTAAAACTCAAAGGATGGGAAAAAAATATATCAAGCAAACAGCAATAAACAAAGAGCAGAAGTGGCAATATGAATCTCTGACAAAATAGACTTTAAAGTAAAAGCCACCACAAAGGATAAGGAAGGACACTATATAATGATTAAAGGGCCAATACACCAGGACCACATAGCCATAATAAATATTAATG